CGTCGACAAAGAGCGAAGGGTCGAGCGAAACGCTCGACTGGAAAAGGAAGAAGAGGGCCGATTAATAAATTCGCGATGTCCACTTCCGGTAACCGTAACGCGTGTCTCATTAGTTTCTTAGGGCCGGCTTAAAGAGAAATTAAATACAACGTCCCAGGGATGGGTGTCGACTCCATGGGGACCCCATGCAGGGTTCCATCCTTATAATGAACGCTCGCAACATCGTCCTTAAGCGTAATGCTTGAACATACGAAAGTCGCCATGCTCGATGAACGTTTGTTAAGCCTGTTATTTGGTTAATTTTGGGAATTTTGACAGTAAAGTATATGGTATGGAATAATTACGAATTAAAATTAAGCTCATTTCTAATTATTATGTATGATATGATACTTATGCAATTGTTTTGTTTTGTAAAAATTATTAACATTGTAAAGATGGATTTATTGTTTAAATTCAAGAATGGAGAAATTAGAAAAAAGGAAGATTTAGTTTGAGAAAATATCAGAGAAGAGATAGATAGAATTTTGAAAAAGTAAAAGGCTATTAGAATAATCTGTCTCGAAATAACTTTTTTTTACAAAAGACGCGGTTTCATTATAATTTTTCCAGCATTATATCAATAAAATGTCTCAATAAGATTATATTTTGAAAATTAGTTTCGTTAATTAAATATGCACTTCTCGGAAAATTACGATTTATTCATCATCAAATTAAATAATAAATAGTTTATAATTGCATAGATACTTTGATATTTCAAAGTTATAAATAACATTCCAAATATATTGCATTTCTTCGTGCGTTGCAAAAAGAAAAATAGATTAGTACAAAAGTTTGAAACAATTTTAAATTTTCCAATACGATCGTTCTTATCTACCCGTGCGCACAATGAATCCTCCAAACCTTCAATCGTCGGCTTAAATCACTATTCTCCCGGATGAGGATGCAACTAACATCGGGCAAGAGACGATAAAATGCGGTAAACAGCGATGGGACGAGGAATTTTCTTTCATATCGGCGGTTTCAATTAAATCCGTGTTCACAGGGGGATTTCTTTACAAACGGCGACGTGTACCTCATCGATCAGGCCGCGAATGATGCAAAAGGCGTAATCGTCCCGGCGGATTGTAGAAAGGTCCGTTGTCGTGTCCACGGCGGAAAGCCGTCGATTTACGCGACAAAGCGACGCAGGGTCGACGTTCCTTTCGCCCAGGTTAATCCACTTGTCGGCGTTCGTGATTTAACGTGCGGTTGCACACTTTCTGTCACTCGTTGCGGAATCTCGTGAAATATTGTGATTAATACTCTTTTATCGCGGCCGTTATTATTACATTTCACCATCCTTGTGTTTCCTTTCCTTTAGATTCTCCCCCTTTCTTTTCATTCTCTCCAATATCGATTTGCGAAACAATTTGTATTATCCTGGAAACCTTAATTGCCATGATTTATTGCCAATTCCTGATCTATGTATGCGGTAGTTGATAAATTGTCGAATTAATTGATATCGCGTTATCGTTTCGTTTCGTTTCGTTTCGTTTCGCTAGGGAAGAAGATGTGCAACAACAAGTTTCGAGCTAATTGAGGTAACTGGAGGAGATTAAAACATACGGATGGGGAAAGAAATTGCATAAATTTCGTAAGTTTTTTCGAAACTTTCTCGTGAGACGGATGGATGATTAATTGCACGATATAAAATGGTGATTAGTTATTCGTTTTTTTTTTTCTTTTTCTATTCAAGTTTGCTCGAAGAAGTCTTGCAATTTCTCTGATTGAGGGTACCGGTGTCGGAGTCATCAGGTTTAGCACGTTAAAAATTAACGTAATCGTTACTTCTCAATCTTCGTGTCTCCGTTATCGCGAAATTAATTTCAACCCTTCCACACTCAAAACTTACAAATCACTCGACACGAAATTCTAATTATAATATTTGTAAACAGAACATTATATAATTTCCAAAGAACTTTACCAATATTATACTATTCACCGAATTACCAATTATTCGTCAAAATATTATTAATTTCAACCATCGATAGAATTGAAACAATCCAAAACTTTAATCCTTAATTAAACCACGAGATAAATCGTTTCGCGAATAAAATTTTCTAGCACGAAGGAATCCAAAGATTGTTCTTTTCCCTGAAATTTCTTCGGAAAATCACGGACAAAAGCTTTATCGCGAGCTTTATCGCGACACGGGAGGAGGAAAGGCGATTTTCGTTCCGAGAGTTTGGCCGCGCCAGGGCGCCGATGCTCCGGCGTAAATCACCGAGCCACGCGGAGGTTTTCCGTTGCCAGCAGGGCACCGGGGCCCCGGCGCGGGCCCCATGGCGGTGTAAATGTATAAATACTAGCCACAAATCTGCCAGCCGGCTAATTTATAAATTTCACGCCGATCTCGTAAATGCGTTTCTGATTTAGCGCGTTTAAATTATCGCTAAACCACTTCTAACTGCCTGCCCGTGTAATCTCTCTCCGTGACTTCGGGGCCCTCCGGACCCTCGACGCGGCCCCGTGTTGGTATACGCTCGATAAATGGCACACGCATAATCGCGAGCAATACTTCTGCGGCTGGACCCCCCCTCGAACGTGCGAGAAAATATGGAGATTGCCGGATAATGGATATCCGTGGCGCGGATTTTTCGTTGTTAATGGACGTGGGTCACGTGGATGACGATTTTTTTTTTTTTGGAGGAGGGGAGTTGTATAATTTGTCGTTTATATATTTTATTGGATCCCGTTTCGATTATTATATACGACGCAAGAATAATTCATCCCCCTATAATAAAAATTAATTTCGAACTTCTTGAATTAACGAAAGACATCTAACGATGAATGTTGGAAAATGTAGATAATTAGATGTAGACAATCAATCGAATTCGCATTTTCACAAAGAAATTTTCCCTTTCCTTGTCCAAAATATTATTTCCAACATATACGGGAGATGTTAATATACGAAATCCGACTAAAAGCGGTTCCGCGTCGCATAAACCGTTTATCAAATTACCATTACACTGCGAAACATCCATCCTATTCTATATGATTCACCTCTCAATACCCAATACCCAATTCCAACGGATAAAATCCACAATCGGTATCCATCGGAATCCCTCGCCATTTACCCCCATCGCGCAAAGGTCAACGACGCCATCTAGCGCGCTCAGTCACGTATCATTGGCGAACGATGAATCGAGTGCGTGGATAGTCTGTCTATCTGTCCCCCCGGCAGTCAATCGCGCTCACACACACAGGGTAATTGAAAATTATTTGGTAATACGGTTGATCGATTGCGACCCGTTAACTCGTTCATACATCAACCGCGTCCACGGCTCCCCTCCCTCTCGTTTCCATATCTTTTTTCGCCAAGATCGGCGCGCTCGCCTCCGCGCGCGAGAGGCGTCTTAGCGGGGTCAGGTCGGCCAATAAATCCAATACGCCACGGTTCGTCCAGCGCGAGAGCAGCAGTTTTACAATTCATGAATTTATTATGGGCACCACCGAGGATACCGCGGGGCCTCTGCTATTGATTTATCGTTACGCTTCGCCGGGCCCCATCTTCCTCGATGCACGCTCCTGGCCGAGGGAGGAGGCGACGTGAGAAAATTAAGCTCACCCCCCTCGCTGCAGATATTCACCCGTCATCGTTATCGCCGTGTACTTTGAACTTTCGTAAGAAATGTATCTTGAATCTTAATCACGCTTGAATAACGATGGCTGCTCTTCCAATTGCTATTCTTTCGAACAATAAACTTTGATCGGTGGGATTTCGGAACAGGCTCGATCGATGCGATAAGAGCGTATAAAATTTTAAAAGTAAAATTCCCTATACATGTACATGAGAAATTATTAATGGATCCTCGAATCCTCGAACTTCACCTCGCATCGAAAACGGTGCGAGAACGGAAGCGTGTCGGACAATGAAGCTTTTTCCCCGAGAGAGAGAAGCGTCGATATCCTTCGCGTTTACTCGTGACAAGAGGGAAGAGTGGAGAGTCGAGGTCGAATCGGTACGCGGAGACTTACCTTAGAAATCCCGTAGTTCATTAATCAAGCAACGCCCGGAGTCGGAATGCCTTCGTATTTCGAGAGTTGCAGTCCATTTATCACGGCGGAAACGTATTTGTAGGCAGTGGCTGCGCCCGCTTCGCTAACAAGTGGATACGCTGTCCCCGTGGATGATGTAGCACCGGCTAGGCTCGGGACCCCCTACGGCGCCCGACACCTCCAACCTTACAACCTTCGAACCCTCGCCCTCACCTCCCAAACCTCGGCCTCAACCCCCTCCGTTTAAACGAATTTTCCGTGGAAATGCGCGCGGAACGAAGGGAGAAAGTGTAAGAAATCACGAGATGGAGGAGTTGGCAGAATTATCGCCACCGTTGGATTTCTCCAAGCGCCTCCTCGAAGAAGCGCTGGTGATTAAAGCGAAGGAAAGGGTAAAAATGCAAACAGGGGGATGGATGGAGTGGCGTTCGATCTTCGAGCGGGGCTCTTTCAGCGAATTTCCTCCGGAGAGGAAATCGGCGAGGATCCAGCATCGGCCGGCGCGTGTTCCTCGCGGAGGGTGTAATTTATCGAAGCGCGCGCCGCTCGCCGCGGATGGTGACGCGTTACATAAGTTACAAGTTGTCGGCTGCTTTTTACGCGGCTTTAGCCTGCCGCTGCTAAATTAAATATTAAAATGCCGCGGATTAGCGGCCGTTCGGATACCGATCCCGGACGTTTACACGAAGGGAGAAGCGTCCCCCGTACAATTGCCACGCGATTTATCGACGCGACGCCAATAATTAACTGCGAGCCTGTCTCCATTTAACACGTTATAATTAATATTCTTGGGTAATTTCTGTTCCCACTGTTATTAATAACGGTTTCATTTCGTCTTTTTCTTTTTCTCTCATGAGGGGCTGGAATCCCATGAGCTAACTGAAAGGTTTGCGACTGTTTAGAGGGATGATAAAAAGTTTGTTATATATTTTGCAGAATGAAATTTCCTGTCGATCGATGATTAGTGAAGTAACAATCAAGAGATCGTTCAAGTGGATACTAATTTCGATAAAACTTTACGTACTCGTATAATTTATTTAGATTTTTCTAATCAATAACTAAAGTCTTAAAAAAAACTTTTGTCATACATTATCCACTAACATCGAAAAGAATTCAAATCATATTTGGTCCAATTATAAAAAAATTAAAATACTAAAGTAGTACACAGTTTACAATAATAGTGTATGCATTAATGAGTACAAAATAATTTTGAAGATCCATTAAAAACCAACCCTCCTCGTATCTACCCGTCACGGATCGTCTTCTCGTGTCACGGATCTTTCAGGAACAATGCCTCATTACGATTTTCCCGAGCCACATCATCGCGGCCACAATACCGATTCCAAGAGCGACTCACAGATCGACTGAACTGGATCCCTGGATCTAGTCGGCCGAAAGGTTAGCCGATCTAGAAATCGCGGTTGTGCACGTTGCATGCAAAAGGGCATAGCATTCGCCATAATTCGTGGCGCGGACACGACCGAATCGGAATCTCGAACGCGCTTTTGTCCGCTTCCTGGCGCACGAGCCGCGCCAGGTGAGAAACGGGCCCCGGTAATAAGTGTTTTCTTGCTCGATCGTTGCTCGATCGGCTCGATCCACTTAGATCGAATCGCGTAGATTGAATTTTCGATCGTCGTGGGGAAAGGGGATGGCCACGATCGTTGCTGCGTCCCGATTTCAATAGAACGAGCTCGCGTGTGAAGCGAAATTTTTACCAATTGGCCGGGAGAGTGAAATCGATCGAGCCAACTTTTCTCGATGGAGGAGTTATTCACCCACACCGTGCTCTCGATCATCGCTTTCTACGCACGATTACATTGTTGTATTGTTTGTTCTGGGAGAGTGGAATTGATAATCGAACGATTCGCGTGTGGCAGGAATACATCATATGATACGATGGAATTTTTAAGTTTTATATATATACGTGTGTATGGTTAAGTGTGGGAAGTAAATGAAATTTTATGGGAAATATCCTTTCATTTCGTTCTTTTCGCTTTGGCACGATTTAACATTTCATTGTTCAATATGTTCTGTACAATGTTCCGTAAAAAATAACGCGTTATATTATATAAATAATAAAAATTGTTTATATATCTTATATATATTCGTAATAATATGGAATATCGAGAATGATATTGCGGAATATTATGGTTAATACGAAACGAGACACAAGAATTAATATTCAAAATATTGATTTCGAAATCGATTAACGCAGTCGTTTTCCGGACAAAGAGCGGAACGGTCGTGTTTCTCTCCGTACAAATATTATATCGCTTGAAAAATCGTTAAATATCGTGCAAATAATTACATGCAAGTAATGATTGTTGTAAAAAAGGAATTTAAAGAAAAAAATATTTAAAGGAGGATGGAATATCTGCCGGATATAACAATATTATATTATATACATTATATATGTATATTTGTTATTACGATTCTTATTGTTTCCTCTTTCTCGATAATCTTACGACTTTTATCTTTATCTATAGATCGCAATTTAAAATTTCCATCAACAAGATATCCATAATTTGTTTATCGAATATTCCCTGTAAGTAAAGTAATAACTACAATAACTCGAATAACCAACTTCTACACCGTTTATTTTTCAAAATAAGAAGAATAAACATCCCGCTGCGACGCGATTACAATAATCCATTCGATATCCAACGATTCTCTGCAATTACCACCGCGAAACTTCACGATATCTCCACCGTATCCCACATTATTTCACCTTAACTTCATATATCTCTTCTCTCGAATAGCTCAAGCACCGTCACGAGTCGTTCATTAGAAATTTGCCTAGGGTCTCTGCACGGAAAATACGATCCATCGGTAGCCGTAACCACGGCATGATCTACGACGAAACCGATGCCCGAGGCTCGCGAGGATCCTCGGCGTGGTGCATCCTCGAGTTTTCGCGCGCGAGATGCAATAATGCTAACGTGTCCGCGTTTATAACGCGGCCACTCCACCCCCTTCCCCTAGGCTTCTCTCTCTCTCTCTCTTCTCTTTTTCTCTTTTCTTTCGTTTTTCGTTTTTACCTTTTCGAAAGAGGGCAGATCCGTCCATCCGGGGAAAATAATAAAAGGCAGAGCGGAGTTATTGAAATGGGCCGTCTACAATGCTCGTTGCCGGGTTTGACGGGCCAGATCGCAGGTTTGAAACGTGGCCAAGCGCGAAACTTGACGTCCCGACCCCTCCCAACTGCTGTTGGTCTTCCTTCGTCCCCCTTTCGTTGGCTTCTTGCACGTGCTTCGACGCATTATTGTATTCCGCGTTTCGCTCGCCTCATCGATTTGGAATTAATCCATGAGATTAATCGTTGAAAGCTTCTATAATTCTTTCATTTATTTCATTCTTATAATCTTTCTCTTTTTTCTTTTTTTTTAATTCTTTGCCTCTAAGAAATTTAAAATATATAATATTTTAATTTGATTTTCGTAAATGAATCAAACGAGACAGGATCTTCGAGGTTCGGTTTCAGGATAATCGTAGATAATTCCACGTCGATGCGCGAATCTCGACGGAACAAGAACTCATTGTTGTTCGCTTCATTCACCATTGTCTTCGCAGCGAGTCGTTCTTGTTACTCGCTCGCTATGCAGTGCACATATCTCGCGCACCTGCCTCACATAAGTTTCTTCCCTTTCCCCTGTACCCTCCCCTCGTCCACATTCCGATCCATCCAATCCTCATAATCTTCCGCGAAAGAATTCATCGCAATGCTCACTTCCAACCTGCCTTCCTTCCTGCCGCCCTTCCCCATTCTTCATTCCTCACCCCCATAAAACCCTTCAAACATCCTTTGAAATCTCTTCCACTCGATCTTTCCTCGAGCAATACGTTTCACCGTTACGTTGCACAGCCTTCTTCTAGCCTGAATTCCATCGGCGGTTACAAGCCAATGTTCGCACTTTGTTCGCGTCGACCGATCGCACGTGCCCACCGAGATACCTCTGCCTCGAGCTTTATTTCTGCCGGGGCGAAGATTGCTCGGCCGAGCTACTTGCTTATCTGATTTACACCATTTCATCCTGAATTAACGCGCATTTCGAATCGAAGAAGCTTACACGTTAAGCAAGTCGAGCATTTTATTACCAAATAATATATCATCTTCCTCGTGCCAGAGGTGCGAATATAAAATTCTCAATGATAACTTACGAGATTATCATTTAGATGCTTGGTTTGTTCATCGTAAAACGTTGCCTTGTCATTCGTCGAAATGAAGTTAAAAAATTTATTAAACATTCGTTGAATATTTCCACTCTTTCCACGTTTATTGCTTGTTAAGTTTATCGGATCCCAAATTTCCCCTCCTCAATTTCTAATTCTCCGTTTCCGTTGTCATCTCAACGATCAATTTCTCAACCGACATTTCTAATTCGAAGAATCTTCGAATCTGTTCGCGGCAAAATAAACCGCTACGACTTCCCTTGCTTCCTTCATTAATTACTCCTCAAAGTCGCGTTAATATTACAATCGGCCGTTTTCGATCGAGCTAACTGTTCCCCCGGTAAATTGTAAATTTTTCTAGAATAACAGATGCGCGACCTGCTAAGTAACGAGCATCGCGATCTTCCCCCGCGTATCGTGCATCGTAAAGCTCTCTCGCGAGGCTGGCTCGAGGAATTCGGCGATGCCTGCGGAATATTCAGAGACTCGCCGGTCTCCCCTAACAGATCTTCGGGGATCTACATATTTAGAGTCGTGCACGCGAACGTGACTTCGTACTTTAACGATCGGCGAACGAAGGTGACGTTCGAGGGAAGCCACGTCCTCCTTCTTCCCTTCCCCTCCTACGCGGAGGACGCTACACACGCCGCATAAGTCCAGATTTGCATTCCCGTTAAGGATATTTCTAGATCTGTTCTGCCGCATTCTTGCCATGCCTTAATCACGGTCGCCACTCTCGGCCCTGTATTAATTAATCCCTCTTCTTCGATTAATCGATGCTGGTCCAGGCTCGATCCATTCATTGATTCTCGAGTTGTTAAGTAGACAACGAAAATTTCGATGGATTTTCATACGAAAATGTTTCTCTTCTAATCAAAACTCTAAAGTGAGGTCTAATTCGTTTCGAGAAACTTCAACTACTTTTCGCGTCATAATAGATTACCAGCTATTCGTTGCATCAAACCAATGGAATAAAACGTCAGAAGCAAATATAATCAAAGTTTCAAAACCTACCCCTTTTTGAAAAAATATTCCAATCTAACATACACACGAAATCCATCTCGAAATCTCCATTATCCATCCGCGCACAATACTCACGGACAAAATCCATCGCGGAAGCGCTGTGCCGCTAAAATCGCGATAACCACAGCCCAAAGCACCCCGCTGTCTTTCCCATGACACCCGACCCTCTCCACGCGTAATCAAACGTTAAACGCCTCACCAGTGGCGCGAGTACATTTCGACTCAAACCTCCGAGTAACCATCTCTCTTTTTCTCTCTCTCTCTCTCGAGAGATCTCTCTCGATCGATTCCCCCCCCCACGAGAGGGAGAAGATCGTGAAGATCCTCCGCTTCCGCGGGATTAGCGATCGGCTGCAGCGGTCAGCCGAGGCCGTGGCTGGCTCGATTCACCGCCGATTCATTCGAGAAAGCGCGACGTGGGAATACACGTCGCCGCGGATTACGCCCCCTCTTCGCACGGTTACACACGTCCCTTGCGAGCGCGTTATCTCGCGTTGCACGCGAGCGGGCAAAAGGAGCGACCCGCCACGGACGAGTATTCACTTTGGCCTTTGGTGGGATGGTGGTTCGTGACCTCGTATCGCCGCGGCATTACAGCCCTACAGCTTTTTATCGGGGCGCCACGTCACGCGGAGGCTGCAATTACTAATTTAGAGGCGAGACCGAGTCGTGCCAAATCCCTCGCGGAAAGCCGCCCTCCTCTCTCATTCGAATAACGCGTTCCGCGAGGAAGCGAGCGTTGCACGGCCTCGTGGATCATCGCTACACACCGAGTATACAGGGTGATCGAAATGATTTGGAGCGAGTTACTCGAAGTTTCTCAAATGTAAATTGTTGCGAAGGAACGAATTGGTTTTAATTTGAATTTTCAAATAATGACATCACTAAACTTTTCCACGAGAATAAATTTGAACTAATTGACAGGGGAGAGAGTCTATCTATTCGATACTGGCAACTACCTCTTCTCCTGATCAAAAGAAAGAATAATATCAATCTTTATTTACCAAGGTGCACCAAGAAGATCGAGCATTCGACGCACAACTCTCTTCGTTTTGAAAACGAAATATTGTTGTAAATTTATCTACACCGTTTGTCGAAAGTTAGGGAAAGATTCACCCTGTATAGGGCTCTCGTTTCCTCCTCCCGACACCGAGAGCACGGAGAGAGCGTGGTAGCCGCGGGTAACCCGTGGCCGGGTATACAGCATCGCGATATGCAACCATCGAAATATGCAGAGGCCTGGAGCCCTCGCTAATTACATGCCTGTCGCGGCGCGCGAACGTCGTTTCCTAATTGTAAGCGCGCTCGAGAGGAGAGTGTCTGGCCATGGTCGGCCGTCAGATCTGCTCCGGGCATTTTTCGCGCTCCGACATGCTGGGGGTAATAGAAAAGCGGCCTCGGATTAATTACGCCCGCAGAGTACACATATTTCGCGGCCGCTTATGATTCGTACTCGACCAGCGTTGTTCGTTTAGTGATTCTTGACGGGTGATGCGTTTCAGGTCGTGTAGGTGGAGGCGTGAGAAATTTTTCGGCTTAGATTACGTGAGATACGAAGTTCGAGCGAGATTCGAGTTGGACGGAGTAGATGGAGTTGGCGATTATTGGTATTAGGATTGTTCCGACCGACAGTTTAGTATTACGTTGCATCGATATCTGACCGAACGTAGACAATTACACTTTCACTTCCATTGTCTCGTTTGAACACTGTGTTTTGCGTCCACGCGTTTAACATTATTCCTCGTGTTTTATAACGGACAAACGACGTTAATTCTCT